CAGGTGTGGCCTCTTGCTGTTGAAGATGATCTAGCAGCTCATCAGTGGTTAGTTCTTCATTGTTCTCCTCCACCAACTTCCACATCTTCCCCACTAACCTCCAACCCCAAGGACTTCCCCAATGCCACAATGGATTCCTCAACTGGCATAGGATTCCCAGGGTTAGTCTCAAACCCTTCAAAATCCCTTTTGTCTACACATTCTGACCACAGTTTCTTCCAAGCAGAGTTCAAGGTCCTCTTAATCACTTCCTCCCAAGCCTTACCTATAATGTTTACACAATTGAGGATGCTAAAGTGATCTCTCCAAAACTCTCTTAGAGTCAATTGAGTTTCTGAAGTCACTACAAAGCACCTTTCAAACATAGCTTTTGTGTACAGTTTCTTGAAGTTGGAAATGACCTGCTGGTCCATGGGCTGCAGGAGAGGAGTGGTATTAGGAGGCAAAAACTTGACCTTAATGAAGCTCAATTCCTGCAGAAAGTCGCTCTGCCAAGTCTGAAGGATGACCAGGAGCATTGTCTAATACCAGGAGGCACTTAAGGTCTAATTTCTTTTCAATTAGGTAATTTTTCACAGTGGGGGCAAATGCATGGTGTAACCAGTCATAGAAAAAGTCCCTAGTGACCCATGCCTTACTGTTTGCCCTCCACAGCACACACAAATTAGCCTTGAGGACATTGTTTTTCCTGAACACTCTGGGAGTTTCAGAGTGATACACCAATAAAGGCTTCACTTTGCAATCACCACTGGCATTGGCACACATGAACTGAGTAAGCCTGTCTTTCATAGGCTTATGTCCTGGGAGTGCCTTTTCCTCCTGAGTAATGTACGTCCTGTTTGGCATTTTCTTCCAAAACAGGCCTGTTTCGTCACAATTAAACACTTGTTCAGGTTTCAGTCCTTCACTGTCTATGTACTCCTTGAATTCCTGCACATATTTTTCAGCCGCTTTTTGGTCCGAACTGGCAGCCTCACCATGTCTTATCACACTATGTATGCCACTACGATTCTTAAATCTCTCAAACCAACCTTTGCTGGCCTTAAATTCACTCACATCATCAATAGTTGCAGGCATTTTTCTAATTAAATCGTCATGCAACTTCCTAGTCTTTTCACATATGATCGCTTGAGAGATGCTATCTCCTGCTATCTGTTTTTCGTTTATCCACACCAATAACAGTCTCTCAACATCTTCTATCATTTGCGATCTCTGTTTCGAAAACAAAGTTGCACCTTTGGCAAGAACAGCTTCCTTGACTGCCGTTTTCTTGGCCACAATAGTAGCGATGGTTGATTGGGGTTTTGTGTTCAACCTGGCCAGCTCAGAGACACTCCACTTTCATACTTAGCAATGATCTCTTTCTTCATATCCATAGTAATTCTCACTCTTTTTGCTGTAGGGTTGGCATTAGAAGCTTTCTTTGGGCCCATGGTGACTTATTTTGCAGGTGCAATCACTAAAAAGGCTGTGATAATATGAAATGTTCCGATTGTATGCTTGGAAGCGACCGCGGTGGCTGGCTTGTAAACACTGGCACCCACGGAACAAGTGAGGCGCGCTCAGGCCGCACGTGGACGCGTCTCGAACGAACCGCGTTGAGCGAGTTTTTTAGCGCTAGCCGAGCAAAATTTTTGCGTTAAAATGTATCGCTAGGCGGATTTAACGTTATGCGATGCGTTCGTTAGGCGAGGTTCCACTGTACTTTCGTAGGAGCAAGTGAGGCGACTGTCGCTCACTGGTAAACAATGCCACACTGGCTGGGAAGGGAGGCCGCCCCGGCTCACAGCGTGCGTACGCGTCCCGGATGAACTACTATTCGCGAGTCAATCTACGATTAGCGAGCCCATGTTTATATGAAAATATCGCTATGATTTCCGAAATCTACGACTCTTGAGCCCTACGATTATCGAGGGACCACTGTATTAGCACACTTCTGGCAAGACAGCAGTTAGATGACAGAAGAACTCAGAACAGTGGATTCACGTTTGATAAATTCAGATTTTGAAAGGAAATAGATAAATACTGGTTACCAGTCAAGTGGTGGATGTTTGTATACCATTAGTGATATAATTTTATTCTTGGTTGTTGCACTATTTGGGTATAACTGTGTTCATAGGTTGTTTTTATCTAAATACTGTATGGCAGATCCTGCATATTTTTGTAAAATATTGTGAACTTTAGTTACAATGCACAGTACAGTACAGTAGAGTACTTTGTTCATGAGAGTCAGCAGTAATAAGTTTACACTCCTGAACTCTGTTACTTTTTCAGATATGAACCAAAGAGTGTTTATTGCTCTCCCTACACACTTTCCCCTGTCTTTCTTAATGTTGCTGCACCAGCCTGCTGCAGATACAGGTACCTGAGCAAATATTACTCGCCACTGCCTCCACACTTCCATTTCCACACTACCATTAGCAATTGTGTCATTACGATTTCTTGAGTCATTTCCACTTTTCTCACCATAAACATGTGCTTCATGTAGTATAATTTTATTGTAATGATATACAGATTCACTATTTTTCTTTAGAATTCCTATTTGTTATCTTGTATTCTGCCATAATGTTCCTCCATACTTGTAATGTGTGTTTTATTTCAGCAGTTCTATTCCAGCCAGTTTATCGGTTATCATTCAATGCACATAACATGAGATGGTATCCATACACACACTACTACCATTTTGTCATTTTATGTAATTTTTCCAGAATTTAGACTGCTTGAGGATGACATTCAGTAAGAACACAATTCACAATTTCTCTAACCTCTGTGGCTAATTAATTGGCAGTTACAGTAATTCAGTTTGGGTTGATAATCCCAAGATGTGAATTCTAGCTTCTGACTACAGTAAAGGCTACCAGTAATGTAGAAAAATATAAAAACTCACAAAAGTACTGCACTGCATTATATTTTTATTAATCCCTCAAAGGAGGTTCTTTGATGTTGGTGAGTGTCTCTTGATCTAGGGAATTGGATCTGTGTTCCAATTCCCTGAATTAAGCCTGAATACCTTTCACATCCCTCCCACAGGTGCTGCATAATTCTATGGGTGTAGCGCTCCCCCTTGATAATAATAATAATACAGTGGACCCTCAACCAGCGATATTAATCCGTTCCTGAGAGCTCATCGTTAATCAAAATAATCGTTAGTCAAGTTAATTTTTCCCATAAGAAATAATGGAAATCAAATTAATCCGTGCAAGACTCCCCAAAGTATTGAAAAAAAAAAATTTTTACCACATGAAATATTAATTTTAATACAGACTGAAGAAGACATGCACAGTTACATGACACTTACCTTTATTGAAGATCTTGTGATGATTGATGGGATGGGAGGAGGGGAGACCATTGATCTTGTTAGTGTTTAGAAGGGGAATCCCCTTCCATTAGCACTTGAGGTAGAAAGTCTTTTTCTGGGGTTACTTCCCTTGTTCTTTTAATGCCACTAGGACCAGCTTCAGAGTCACTGGACTTCTGTCGCACAACATATCTGTCCATAGAGGCCTGTACCTCTCGTTCCTTTATCCTAAAGTGTTTCACAACATTGTCAGTGTAATAGTCACCAGCACGGCTTGCAATAGCTGTGTGAGGGTGATTTTCATCAAAAAAGGTTTACACTTTAAGCCACATTGCACACATTTCCTTAATCTTTGAAGTAGGCAACTTCTTTAATTTCTCTCTCCCCTCCTCCGAAGCAGTTTCCTCAGGTGTGGCCTCTTACTGTTGAAGATGCTCTAGCAGCTCATCAGTGGTTAGTTCGTCATTGTCCTCCTCCACCAACTCTTCCATATCCTCCCCACTAACCTCACCAATATGAGCACTAGTTCCAGGCATTATTTCCTGTTCACCTGGGTGTTAGTCAACTGTTGTGGGTCGCATCCTGGGGGACAAGATAAAGGACCCCCAATGGAAATAAGTTAGACAGTCCTCAATGATGCACTGACTTTCTTGAGTTATCCTGGGTGGCTAACCCTCCGGGGTTAATCGTTTCTCGGTAATTGTTTCACATTAAGCCACATCAACAACACTCTCTCCACATCTTCGAGTAATACAACTGATGGTGGTGCAGCAACAAAAACAGCTGACTGTGGTGCAGCAGCAGCTGCACCTTTGGCAAGAACAGCTTCCTTGATTGCCGTTTTCTTACCCACAATAGTAGCGATGGTTGATTGGGGTTTATTATACAACCTGACCCTCCGGGGTTAATCGTTTCTCGGTAATTGTTTCACATTAAGCCACATCAACAACACTCTCTCCACATCTTCGAGTAATACAGCTGATGGTGGTGCAGCAACAACAACAGCTGACTGTGGTGCAGCTGCTGCTGCACCTTTGGCAAGAACAGCTTCCTTGATTGCCGTTTTCTTACCCACAATAGTAGCGATGGTTGATTGGGGTTTATTATACAACCTGACCAGCTCAGAGACACGCACTCCACTTTCGTACTTAGCAATGATCTCTTTCTTCATCTCCATAGTAATTCTCACCCTTTTTGCTGTAGGGTTGGCACTAGAAGCTTTCTTGGGGCCCATGGTGACTTATTTTGCAGGTGCAATCACTACAAAGGCTGTGATAATATGAAATGTTCCAGTTGCTGTATGTTTGGAAGCGACCGCGGTGGCTGGCTGGCTTGTAAACACTGGCACCAAGGGACAAGTGAGGCGCGCTCAGGCCAAAGTGGGCGCGTATGGTACGGAACGAATAGCGCTGGTCGGGTTTTTAAGCGCTAGTTGAGGCAAAATTTTTGCGTTAAAATGTATCGGTAGTCAGATTTATCGTTAATCGATGCCATCGCTGGTTGAGGGTCCACTGTAATACTTTTATTAACACTGAAGTTTTGTAATTATTTTTTGTTTTTTAAACGCTGTTCATCTCCTGCTGAGGCAGGTTAACCTGAAAAGAAATACTTACGACAGTTTAAAGTTTCATGACTAACAGCATTATTAAAACTTTTTCATGTTACACAAGAGTGTTTTAATTAATCAGCATTTTTTCTTCAGGATACACAATTAGAAGAAAGAATATATCGTACAGACTCTGACTGTGTTCTTGCTGGTCGGCCATTAACGGAGTTTGATCTCTATGCTAGTACTGTGGTAAACATGGAGAGTGCTGGCATAAGGTTTGTATATGATACTAGTAGTAGTAGCAAGGCATGATAATCCACAAGTCAATAACTTCTTGAATTTCATGTTTTACAGCTTGTGTGAGTGTATTAGATAGAGGTGAGTGGAGACAAGGTTTTTTCTGATATGACATGCTGTTACAGTGCAAGCAAGTTAACATTTAGGATTTAGGGGAACCAGGAAGTATAGTACAGTAGGGCCCCACTCATATGGCTGGTTAGGTTCCAGGCTGCCGCCGGAAAGCAGACATCGCCGAAAGGCAGAACGCCATTTTTCCCATTTATAAATGCATGTAAATGCCAGACAACAAGTTTACACTAAATTATATTAAGTTAGTAATAGAACTAGGCATTAAAAACACACAAAGTAAAATACATTCACAGTACATTCATTACTTATTACTTTGTAATCTTAATGTAGGGAGAGAGGTGAGTAGTACTTATTTGTAGGAAGTCAGGTGCAGGTAGCCCTGGCTTCCCGTCTCATATTTAATATACGATATTTAAAACATCCCAGAGAGTTAAAATACACATATAGTACACTCACTATTTACCTTAAAATATGTGTAGTCGTAATATAGGAAAAGAGGTGAGTAGTATTTATTTGTTGGAAGTCAGTGTAGGTAGCCGGTAGGTGTAGCCCAGTTGGGCTACACCTACCGGCTACCTACACTGTGGCCCAGAGCCATATTATTAATATCGACATACCTTGTTCACTGAATTTAATCGTTTCTAACAACTACCTTTAGATGCCATCATAAACGAAGGGAGAAGTAATGAATAATTCATGCCGAAAATTGTAAACAAAAGCGGAGTGAGGGAGTGGCTGGGCCAAACGCAGATTCATACACGTTTTCTCTGGTGCCTGACCAGAGAAAATGTAATGTTGTCCCTCCGGCTGGCTACCACACAGGTCCACAAGTATTATTATCAGAGCACATATAAAATATGCAATAAATGCCAGACAACAAGTTTACACTAACTTATATTAAGTTAGCAATAGAAATAGGCATTAAAACACAATAAAAGGTAAGATACACACAGAGTACACTTATTACTTACTTTAAAATATTAATATTAATGTGCGAGAGGTGAGTGGCAAGGTGTTTATTGAATAAAATTAGAATGGCACACCATCGTCTTCTAACTTGTCACTTAAAGCAAGAGGCTTACAACTCCTCTTTTTATCACAGCTAAGCTTAGACGCCATCATCAATGAGAGCCAACAAATTAACGAAAGAGTAAACGAGAGAGAGAACGAGATACAGAGTTCAGACAATGTAAGAATACAAACTGAAGAGGTAGTGGGCAATCACTTGGTCGGGCGAAATAAATGCGTATTAATATGTGTCTGCTTTTAGCTCATTCACGTACGTTTGTAGGAGTTTGTAAAACATTTACCTCAATTTTTTTTATTATAATAATAATTACCTCAAAATACAAATACAGTGAACCCCTGCCTTACGATCAGCTCCCAACTCGAACAGTTATTTAAGTGTATTTTTGTAAGTGCTTTTGTACGTGTATTTTTGGGGGTCTGAAACGGACTAATCTAATTTACAATATTCCTTATGGGAACAAATTCCTTTGGTGACGGCACCCGAACAGACTTCTGGAATTAATTAATATCGTAAGTTGGGGGTCCACTGAACTCTTACATTGTGTACAAGTTGTACAAGTTAGTACAGAATAAACAAACAGCAACACACCATTTTTAGAGTGAATGAATTGCTATATATAGAGTGAAGGCATACGAAAAGAATATTTTTCTACAATTATCCCCCAGTTTGACTAGAGAAAACGTAATTTTTCCGACACTACCTTCACAGCTTCTTTGTAAACAAATCTCATATTTACTTCAATTTTTATTCTGTGAGTGTATGTATCATGTTTATATGCTATGTAACGGGTTTCGTATATAATTTTGAGGAAAATATCATAGATGGATTAATGCAAATGCCTATATTAATGTAAAATAAGACATTTAATGTATTGGCATCATGAGTAGAGAGAGACTTAGCGATTTTAATGTGTACCTGCACACCAGCACAGTGTGTAAGTATATTTAGGTACAGGTACACATAAGTATAATTATCAGAATACATATGAAATTACGCAGTAACTTTAAAACACTTGAAATTTTGGAAAGTTTCCTGACATAATAGATGTCGTCACGGAGAATTAAACAAACCGGGTGGGGCGCACCGTGTTTGAAGGACCGCTTGCCATATAGCAAATTTTGGTCATAATTTGACATTGCTGTATTAGCAGAACGCCTTAAGGTGAAATGCCGTAAAGCGGAGCTCTACTGTACCTGCACTGTGAAGGAGCCATAGGGATGTTAGAGACTGGAGGGCCATCTGAACTGGGATGCCAGCATGCTTTTTGGCAAGAAAGTGATTGAATGTATAACAGTGAGGGTCATCCTACCATGGTTGGAGATAGCTGGTGTGTGAGAAAAAATTAAACTTAACCTGTCTTACTGATGATGCCCTATTTTCTTCATCCTCAGCATTTCTAAAACACCATAGGGAACAAACTGTAGTTCAAACAGCACAATGAAACCTCAGTATGAAACTTTATGTGATAGAGGAAACTGTCTCATGATGCAGGCATTTATCAGATTGTCAAATGGTTGGTACTTTGGTATGAGATGCCAAAGTACAGTATATACTTGTTTAATTGAACAGCATGACCCACACTATGCAAATTAACATGGATTTAAAATAGTAATATATTTGCTTTAAGACTATATGTTTCTTATCTTCTAATCTACACTTATACCATTTTTGTCTATAATATCAACGCACTAACTTCTACAGTTTGGATGATCACCTTGGTCCACCTCCTGGTATGTCAGACACTCTACAAGAACCAGATTGCATCAGTGTGCTGGACCTTCCCTTCTCCATGTTTGCTTTTGAACACCTTCAGGTAATTCAGGCACAAGATTGCTTGGTTATGAAAAACTAATGTAGTGTTTTGATACGTTATAGCTTGAAAGGTGCTCATTGGGAGAGGGTGTTGCACTTAGGTGGGTCATTTAAATTGTTAAATTGTGACAGCAGCACTCTTCTGGAAAGATGGCTGTTGATTGAATGATGGTGAATGTTTCCTTTTTTGGGTCACCCTACCTTGGTGGGAATGGACATTGTGTTAAAAAATGGTCTTTGCTTTAAGTGTTTGCATAATTAGAAAAGTTCAGCACTGTGTAATTGAATACAATACTGAACTTTTACAGAGTTAGGTTAGGTAGGTTTGTCAGGAAATAGGACAAGTGTTTCCTGATGTGGATCTCAGTCATATGATGACCCTTAGCTAGAGCTTTTGGTCATCTGACGAGGCCTTCTGCTGGCTTGCCAGTCCACTCCTTTAACCCTTTCAGGGTCGAGAGGCCGTCTCCTAAACTTGTTCTCAGGGTCGAAAATTTTTCGGGGAAAAAAAAAAATTTCTTATGAAAAGATAGAGAATCTTTTCCTGATCATATTGACACCAAAAGTATGAAATTTGATGGAAAACTTCGGAATTATGCTCTCGCAAAGTTAACGGTCTCGCCGATGTTTACGCATCAGCGATTTCGCCCACTTTGAGCCCTATTTTCGGCCAATTCCTGTGTACTAGTCGACAAAAATCATATTTATTTCACTAAAACTCCATTTTTTCTATCGAATGAGTACAAGAAACCACCCATTTACTAATTTCAACTATCCAATGAAGTGGTCAGAAACTGGCAATTTTGCCAATTTCACACAAATTTCAGAAGATGCCAATTTCCAAATAGGGTCCAGAATAAACAAGACAGACATTCCTGGCACTAAAATAACAAGTTCTCTGTTCGTTAGTCACATCCCCAGGCCCCTCTTATATTTCTCTTGCTTTCCACTTTGAATTTTTATTCTCACAAAAAATAGAAGATTTACTGTTATGCAGACTACTGCATTAGTGTAGAAATGGTATAAATAATATCAGCGCATTTGTGAAGGAATATTAAACTCACCAGTTGACGTGTATTGGACGCTTGGCGTGATTTGTTTACTTTTGAACTTTGGTAAAAATCGAACATTTCTGCTACTTTGAGCTCAATTTCAAGGTGCTTTTCATTGTGAAACCAATCAAAATTATCTCAATTTCTGTAATATGTCTTCCATTCTATAAAATGAGACCAGGAAAACTAGAATACAACTATAAATACCATACAAAAATACAGTGCAAAGTCACTGTTTTAATCCCAAAACACGGTCAAGGTTTTTTTTTTCTCATTACGCACTGTGTGCTGCAGGATTTTTTTTTATACTGTGCACACTGACCACATAGACCCATTCTTTCATATGTAGGCCTTCCAGCTTTCTCTCGCTAGATTTGAAGGCACTAGAATTTAGGCGTTCTAGCATGTCAATAACCCTGGTGCATAAGCCGTACTAGTACGTCGAAAACCCTGAAAGGGTTAAATATTATGGTTATGCTTATAACCATTTTCATATATTTACAAAGTAAAATAGTGAGCACAGCGCAGTACAGTATAGGTTTAGAGTAAGAGTGAACATTATACCATATTACAAAGTAAAAGAATGAGTATAGTGTGTTAACAGGTTTGCATTAATGGACATGCTTGCATGGGATGACTTAGTAAGTCTCGGTAGCTAGAAGTTATGATATAAATAAATCTAATGTCCTGTGTTAAGAAAGGTGGCTAGGATTAGGGCAATTGTGGCATGCACTAGCCCAGAAGGGTTGAAGATAGTTGCGACTGCTTGTGTTACAAGTATATTACTTGCTAGGACGAAGATATCGAAAAGGTACAATGAACTGATTAATTCGAGGAGTGAAGCAGTACAAATGAAGGTGGGTCATCATTTTGAAAGTTACAATCTGCACAATATCAAAGTTATGACAGAGTTATCATGTGGGAGTTCAAGGTAACCTCTATATGAGCAGCAGTTGAGAAAGGAAGGAACATCCTGCTCTAAACCCATATTGTCTTGGGTGGTGTAAATGTTGCATTTTTATTTGTTTAGCATTTTTAAAAAGATTAATCTTGTATGTCATCAGTAATATCTGGCTGTATTTTTTGGGATTACTTTACTATCTTTTTTATTGAATTTGGCTGTCTGTTGTGTTTAAAGCTTGTGGATGATGCTTGTGTCTGGACTTCATAGAGAGTTTAAGTTTAAGATTTGTTGGAGTGTGAGCAGGGTAATATTTTGTGAAGGGATTCAGGGAAACCGGTTAGCCAGACCTGAGTCCTGGAGGTGGGAAGTAATATGCCTGCAGTTTAAAGGAGGAGTTTGGGATATTGACTGTTTGGAGTGAGGTGAAAGTGTTTCATTTTTGGGTCACCCTGTCTTGGTGGGAGATGGCTGATATGTTGAAAAAAAAAAAGGAAAAAAATGGAGATCCATGAGCCAATTCCTGGGTCATTGTATGGGTATGCTCTGAAAGACTCCTTCAAAGTCAAGTGGTACGAGGGATATGTTAGAAATGTGAACCAAGTTTGGCATTATATTTATGAAAAATACATGGAATTTGTCAATCTTTAGTCTGTTTAATGACTTTTTGTGTACCAAGTCATAATGTGTCCTCAGTATTTTGCTTATTTCTGTGTTTTTAGCAGATTTTTTTACCACACCAACTGTCTCCCACCAAGGCAGGGTGACTGATAAAGAAATACTCTTACCGCCACTCACTCTATCACTGTCTTGCCAAAAGTGTTCTGACATTACAGCTAGGATGCCCCTCCAAACTGTAATATGTATTCCCAACCCCCTTCAGAGTACATGCACTAATTCCCACCTCCAGGATTCAAGTTCGGCTAACCAGTTTCCCTGAATCACTTCTCCAACAGTATGAAGTTATAAAAATTGCTTGCTGCCACTCACTCCTATCTAACATGCTATCACATGTCTGTTGAATGTCCAAGCCCTGTGCATGCAAAACCTCCTTTACCTCCCTCCCAGGATCCTCTCCTAGGATGACCCCCTACCCCCTCCTTCCTTCTACTACAGATTTATACACCCTCCAAGTCATTCCATTTTGCTCCATCCATTTTACCACCTCAAAACTGTCTCTTCAGACCTTTGAATAATACTTTTAGTATTCCTTCACCTAATAATCTTCAAACTATGAACTCTTTGCATAATATTCACACCACACATTGCCCCCACAGATGTCTCAATACATCACCCACCCTTTTCCTCCCCCTTACCAATTCTGTGACTTAGTGAAGGTTTCATTTCCTTTAAACAAGGACCCAGTACTATATGCCTCTGATTTACATAGGAAAATGTGTTTTGGATCATTTTTAGTCTTCTGATTTTTTTTGGCCATTGCATTAATCTTATAATTTTAACCTAAGTGCTTTTCATTTTTTAACTAGTACCACATTCCATTCTTGAGAAAGACTTAACCTTCTGAAGTTTTAAGAGTCTTTGTCTCTGTCCAGAGAAGGAACATCATTACTTATCCAGTTTGCTTGGAAGCATTATTATAATGAATATTAAGGTTTTTAAGAAGAAATATGTTTAGTACTTTCATTGAAAAATCTTTCACAATTTTTTTTTTTTTTCAACATGATGGGTGTCTCCCACTGAGGTAGGGTGACCCAAAAAAGAAAGAAACACTTTCACTGTCATTCACACAATATCACTGTCTTTGCCGAGGTGCCCAGATATGACAGTTTAGATGTTACTCCATACAGCCAATACTCCAAACCCCTCCTTCAAAGTGCAGGTATTGTACTTCCCACCTCCAGGACTGAAGTTCGGCTAACCAGTTTCCCTGAATCCCTTCACAAAATATTACCCTGCTTACACTCCAACAGCTCATCAGGTCCCAAAAACCATTCATCTCCTTTCACTCCTATCTAACACGCTCACACATGCCTGCTGCATGTCCAGGCCCCTAGTACCCCTTCCCTCCATCCTTTCCTAGGATGACCCCCTACCCCTCCTCCCCTCCCCTACATATTTATGCACCCTCCAAATCAACCTGTTTTTGCTCCATCCTCTCTAAATGACCAAACCACCTCAACCCCTTTTCAGCCCTCTGAACAATACTTTTAGTAACTCAACACTACAAATTCTCTGCATGATATTTACACCACACATTGCCCTTAGACATAGCATTTCCACTGCTTCCAGCCTCTTTCTCACTGTAGCATTCATAACCCATGCTTCACACCCATATAAGAGTGTTGGTACCACTGTACTCTTGTACATTCCCTTCTTTGCCTCCATTGATAGCATTTTTTGTCTCCACAAATACCTCAGTGCACCACTCACCTTTATTCCTTCATCATGTGGTTAACCTCGTCCTTCATAAACCCATCTGCTGACAAGCCTGCTCTTGAATATCTGAACACATTCAATTTTTCCATACTCCCTCCCTTCTATGTGATATCCAGTTCTTCTTTACCTATCTCATTTGATATCCTTATCACTTTACTCTATCTATGTTCACTTTCAGTTTTCTTTCTTTACACACCCTCCCAAACTCGTCCACAAACCTTTGCAACTTTTCTTTAGGAGCTCCCAAAAGCACAATATCATAAGCAAAAAGTAACTGTGTCAACTCCCATTTTGTATTCCCCATAATTTAATCCCACCCATTTTATGTTAGTTTGTCCCTTGTTGTTTTGGTTTGGTACATGGCCCATAGATTGGATAGGATTTTGTTTAGACTGTACTCACAGGATTTCCCAGGTCCAAATTTCACTTCTTTTTTTATTAGAACATTCTTTCATATGAATGTCAATAATGTCATGTTACCAGTGCTCAATAGCCTGTCACACACTCATACTGTACAAAATTTTTGGACAAACTGAGAAACCTGGTCAATTATTTTTCTATCACATTGAGAATATTCACTCAACTGCATTATATTTGCCACTAGCACTTACTATATCCTCACTTGGATATACAGCCTCTCCTCATTTGACGACGGAGTTTCATTCCCAAGACCATGTCAGTAAGTGAATCTGTCACTAAGCAAGGAGCATACTACAATGGTAGTGGGTTTGTGTCAACCATCTTTGATATTGTTTTAATGTCACTTTTGCACCATTTGTAACATTTTTATTATATTTTTAAATGTTTATGCAGTAGTGTACTATACATATATTGTAATAAACAGAATAGGGGAAATCAGCTCTAATATACATTATTTAGGTATGCATACTAGTCAGAGAGCCAGTCGTAAGTCTGAGTCGTCGGCAAATGAGTATGTCACTAAGTGAGGAGAGGCTGTATTTAAATGGTGATTTTAGAGAGTATTCTGCTTCCTTTCCCCTCGTCCTTTCCTTTACATATCTGGTACGGTTTTATAAAATAAGAATCCCCAATTCACAATCCTCATCAGGGTGTTCGTTTCCGAGACAACCTTACAACAAGTGCAGAGGAGGAGATCTCTACTGTTGGGAGTGAGACAGATGTATCAGTGTGGGGCCACCAGGTTGCTACAGCTCTCACCACTAACTCTTCTTCTTGGGTCCTTTACACTCTAGCTACACAGTACTGGAGAGTGAAAGCTGATCCATATCAAGCAGTGGAATGTGTGCGGAGAGCTCTGCATTTTTCACCCAGGTAAGATCACTATACAGTACCACTGTACTAAATTGTATTGACACAATTGTAAAGGACTTATGGAATGGAGGATTCAGACCCATGGTAAGTCAGTTTTAGAACTAGTGCACTGGCCTGCTATTGTACAGCTAGCTTGCCATGGGTTCAAACCCTCCATTTAGTGAATCACAGTACCACGTGGTTTGACACACTGCCAACAGGTAGGGTAAAAAAAAAAAACTGTGCAGAGTAACTTTATTTTGGCAACTAAAGAATAATGCTGTCAAGTGTTCACTTGATTAAGCTCAACAAAGTAAAATGTTCTCAAAATAGGGTATTTCCAAGGCAAGACAGTCAGTGCCTAATATGCAAATCTCTTCAAAGATGGTATTCGAGTGCATATGCATGCACTATTTCTTATAAAGTCTTGTTACAGTATATGCATTATTTGTTTAAACATTTGCCTTTCTTTTTCAGAAATTACTGTTACATTCCAAAAGTTCACTTGGGCAATATTCTGCATCGTGCTCGGAGGTCAGACGAGGCAGTATTGGTTCTCCATGCAGCGATAGACCATTACCGCCATTCTCCAGTAGCACATATAACTCTTGGAAATGTTTATGCTACCCTTGCATTTTATAATGTGTAAGTTGTAATTGGTTCTAAGTTGTTTATTTTATTAATGTACTTTCTTGTATTCTTCCTCTGTAAGCCATGCATATTGTAAGAGATGACTAAAATGTTGGGATTGAGGGATTAGTAACCCCTTCTCCTGTATAAATTACTAAATTTAAAAAATACTTTTGATTTTCTTTTTGAGTCACCCTGCCTTGGTGGGATATGGCTGGATTGTTGAAAAAAAAAAATTTCCTTGCTTGCCTTTGTAGTTTAGTTGTTTGTGTTATTTGGTAACTGATTTGCTTTATACTGTACTTACACAAAAGAGCGATCATTAAACTGAATACTTACACAGTAAACACCCGATATAACGAAATTTGATGTAATGAACCTCAGAATAGCAGACTTCTAAAGTAGACGAAGTCCACATTTTTTTTTTTTCAACAAACCGGCCGTATCCCACCGAGGCAGGGTGGCCCAAAAAGAAAAACGAAAGTTTCTCTTTTTAAATTTAGTAATTTATACAGGAGAAGGGGTTACTAGCCCCTTGCTTCAGACATTTTAGTCGCCTCTTACAACACGCTTGGCTACGGAGGAAGAATTCTGTTCCACTTCCCCATGGAGATAACAGGAAATAAACAAGAACAAGAACTAGTAAGAAAATAGAAGAAAACCCAGAGGGGTGTGTGTATATATATAGGTTAGGGTGTGTAGAAGAGAGGGAGACTACTTCCCGGTAAAAGTAGGTCTTAGACAGGGATGTGTAATGTCACAATGGTTGTTTAATATATTTATACATGGGGTTGTAAAAGAAGTAAATGCTAGGGTGTTCAGGAGAGGGGTGGGATTAAATTATGGGGAATCAAATACAAAATGGGAATTGACACAGTTACTTTTTGCTGATGATACTGTCCTTATGGGAGATTCTAAAGAAAAATTGCAGAGGTTAGTGGATGAGTTTGGGTGTGTGTGTAAAGGTAGAAAGTTGAAAATAAACATAGAAAAGAGTAAGGTGATGAGGGTATCAAATGATTTAGATAAAGAAAAATTGGATATCATATTGGGGAGGAGGAGTATGGAAGAAGTGAATGTTTTCAGATTCTTGGGAGTTGACGTGTCGGCGGATGGATTTATGAAGGATGAGGTTAATCATAGAATTGATGAGGTACATGTGGAGTCAAAAAACGTTATCTATGGAGGCAAAGAAGGGAATGTATGAAAGTATAGTAGTACCAACACTCACATGGGTGTGAAGCTTGGGTTGTGAATGCAGCAGCGAGGAGGCGGTTGGAGGCAGTGGAGATGTCCTGTCTAAGGGCAATGTGTGGTGTAAATATTATGCAGAAAATTCGGAGTGTGGAAATTAGGAGAAGGTGTGGAGTTAATAAAAGTATTAGTCAGAGGGCTGAAGAGGGGTTGTTGAGGTGATTTGGTCATTTAGAGAGAATGGATCAGAGTAGAATGACCTGGAGAGCATTTAAATCTGTAGGAGAAGGAAGGCAGGATAGAGGTCGTCCTCGAAAAGGTTGGAAGGAAGGGGTAAGGGAGGTTTTGTGGGCAAGGGGCTTGGACTTCCAGCAGGCGTGCATGAACGTGTTCGATAGGAGTGAATGGAGACGAATGGTATTTGGGACCTGACGATCTGTTGGAGTGTGAGCAGGGTAATATTTAGTGAAGGGATTCAGGGGAAACCGGTTATTTTTATATATGCCGGACTTGAGTCCTGGAAATGGGAAGTACAATGCTTGCACTCTAAAGGAGGGGTTCAGGTTATTAGCAGTTTGGAGGGATATGTTGTGTATCTTTATACGTATATGCTTCTAAACTGTTGTGTTCTGAGCACCTCTGCAAAAACAGTGATTATATGTGAGTGAGATGAAAGTGTTGAATGATGATTAAAGTATATTCTTTTTGGGGATTTTCTTTCTTTTTTGGGTCACCCTGCCTCGGTGGGAGACGGCCGACTTGTTGAAAAAAAAATATATATATATCTTTCTTTCAACACACCGGCCGTATCCCACCGATACATTTAGTAATATATACAGGAGAAGGGGTTACTAGCCTCTTGCTCCTGGCATTTTAGTCGCCTCCTACAACACGCATGGCTTACGGAGGAAGAATTCTGTTCCACTTCCCCATGGAGGTAAGAGGAAATAAACAAGAACAAGAACTAGAAAGAAAATAGAAGAAAACCACAGGGGTGTGTATATACAGTGGACCCCCGCATAGCGACCTTAATCCGTGCAAGAGGGCTGGCTGTTATGCGAAATGTTCGGTATGCGAATGAATTTTCCCCATAAGAAATAATGGAAATCAAATTAATCCGTGCAAGACACCCAAAAGTATGAAAAAAAAAATTTTTACCACATGAAATGTTAATTTTAATACACACAAACTGAAAAAGGCATGCACAATTACATGACACTTACTTTTATTGAAGATCTGGTGATGATTGATGGGATGGGAGGAGGGGAGAGAGAGTGTTAGTGTTTAGAAGGGGAATCCCCTTCCATTAAGACTTGAGGTGTCGAGTCCTTTTCTGGGGTTACTTCCCTTCTTCTTTTAATGCCACTAGGACCAGCTCAGAGTCACTGGACTTCTTTCGCACAACATATCTGTCCATAGTGGCCTGTACCTCTCGTTCCTTTATGACTTCCCTAAAGTGTTTCACAACATTGTCAGTGTACAGGTTGCCAACACGGCTTGCAATAGCTGTGTGAGGGTGATTTTCATCAAAAAAGGTTTGCACTTCAAGCCATTTTGCACACATTTCCTTAATCTTTGTAGTAGGCAATTCCTTCAATTTCTCTCTCCCCTCCTTTGAACCAGTTTCCTCAGGTCTGGCCTCTTGCTGTTGAAGTTGATTTATCAGCTCATCAGTGGTTAGTTCTTCATTGTCGTCCTCCACCAACTCTTCCACATCCTCCCCACTAACCTCCAACCCCAAGGACTTCCCCAATGCCACAATTGATTCCTCAACTGGTATACTCCTCTCAGGGTTAGCCTCAAACCCTTCAAAATCCCTTTTGTCTACACATTCTGGCCACAGTTTCTTCCAAGCAGAGTTCAAGGTCTTCTTAGTCACTCCCTCCCAAGCCTTACCTATAAGGTTTATACAATTGAGGATATTAAAGTGATCTCTCCAAAACTCTCTTAGAGTCAGTTGAGTTTCTGAGGTCACTACAAAGCACCTTTCAAACAGAGCTTTTGTGTACAGTTTTTTGAAGTTTGCAATAACCTGCTGGTCCATGGGCTGCAGGAGAGGAGTGGTATTAGGAGGCAAAAACTTCACCTTAATGAAGCTCATGTCCCCATAAAGTCGCTCTGCCACGTCTGTAGGATGACCAGGGGCATTGTCTAACACCAGGAGGCACTTAAGTTCTAATTTCTTTTCAGTTAGGTAATCTTTCACATTGGGGGCAAATGCATGGTGTAACCAGTTATAGAAAAAGTCCCTAGTGACCCATGCCTTACTGTTTGCCCTCCACAGCACACACAAATTCTCCTTGAGGACATTCTTTGCCTGAACGCTCTGGGAGTTTCAGAGTGATACACTAATAAAGGCTTAACTTTGCAATCACCACTAGCATTGGAACACATCAACAAAGTAAGCCTGTCTTTCATAGGCTTATGTCCTGGGAGTGCCTTTTCTTCCTGAGTAATGTAGGTCCTGCTTGGCATTTTCTTCCAAAACAGGCCTGTTTCATCACAATTAAACACTTGTTCAGGTTTCAGTCCTTCAGTTTCTATGTACTCCTTGAATTCCTGCACATATTTTTCAGCCGCTTTGTGGTCCAAACTGGCAGCCTCACCATGCCTTATCACACTATGTATGCCACTACGCTTCTTAAATCTCTCAAACCAACCTTTGCTGGCCTTAAATTCACTCACATCATCACTAGTTGCAGGCCTTTTTTTAATTAAATCCTCATGCAACTTCCTAGCCTTTTCGCTTATGATCGCTTGAGAAACGCTATCTCCTGCTAGCTGTTTTTCATTTATCCACACCAATAAGAGTCTCTCAACATCTTCCATCACTTGCGATCTCTGTTTCGAAAACACAGTTAAACCTTTGGCAAGAACAGCTTCCTTGATTGCCTTTCTGTTGCCCACAATAGTAGAGATGGTTGATTTGGGTTTCTTGTACAACCTGACCAGGTCGGTGATATGCACTCCACTTTCATACTTATCAATGATCTCTTTCTTCATCTCTATTGGAATTCTAACCCTTATTGCTGTAGGGTTGGAACTAGAAGCTTTCTTGGGGCCCATGGTCACTTATTTTCCAGATAAAGCACCGAAAACACTGTAATAATACGAAATATTCCGATTGTATGCTTGAATGTTACCGCGGAGGCTGGCTGGTAAACAATGCCACCGGCGGAACATATGAGGCTGGCTCAGGCCGCACATTGGACGCGTCTCGGACGAAGGGCGCTGAGCGGGTTTTTGGGCGGTATGCGAGGCAAAATTTTAGCGATCAAAGCGTCCGCTATGCGGATTGTCCGTTATGCAAGGCGTCCGGTATGCGGGGGTCCACTGTATATGCTTGTACATGTGTGTGTAGTGTGACCTAAGTGTAAGTAGAAGTAGTGAGACATACCTGAAATCTTGCATGTGTATGAGACAGAAAAAAAAGACACCAGCAATCCTACCATCGTGTAAAACAATTACAGGTTTCCGTTTTACACTCACTTGGCAGGATGGTAGTACCTCCCTGGGCGGTTGCTGTTTACCAACCTACTACCTAGGATTATATTATTATTATTATTATTACTTATTATTATATACCTGGAGTTTACCTGGAGAGAGTTCCGGGGGTCAACGCCCCCGCGGCCCGGTCTGTGACCAGGCCTCCTGGTGGATCAGAGCTGATCAACCAGGCTGTTGCTGCTGGCTGCATGCAAACTACTGCAGTGTATCAAAACATTGCTGAGACTTATAAATACTATGTATATATTTCTAGATAATAGTATGTGACTAAGGTAGGTAAAAATGTTCACCTGTCACTGTGTTTGTGACTATTTGAGCACTATTTCAGTACCTAATATTAGTGTCAGAACAAAGATTAACTAAGATATCACAAGAACTACTACAAATTTTTATTATCAGAACATAAAAATTATACAAATTAAAAGTAAAATGAGATAAAAAGGCATATCGGCAACACATCTGCAAGTGGCAGCACTTCATGTTGCCATCAATGAGTGACAAGTGGTGACTTTGCGGCCTTATATCTCTGTAAGTACTGACTCTAGAATTTCTATTTTACATTACTTTATGTAAAAAAAATATCCTCTTCATTTAAAAAAAAAAAAATAGAAATAAAGATTTTTTTATTTTTCAAAATATTCGGAGCGCTGGGTGAGAGAACGTAGATCTACGTTTGGACAGTTAAGGGGTTAAACTTGATAATGTTATTAAACTACAGTTGTGTGTCATATAGGTTTTATTATGTTGGAATTTTTTGCTGTACTTCTACTTTTTGCAGATAGTTTACTTACCCAAGGTAGTAGGTTGGTAGACAGCAACTGCCCAGGGAGATACTACTGTCTTGCCAAGTGAGTGTAAAATGGAAGCCTTTAATTGTTTTACATGATGGTAGGATTGCTGGTTTCTTTTTTCTGTCTCATGAACATGCAAGGTTTCGGGTATGTCTTACTCTTAGGTCACACTACACATTCGTGTACAAGCATTTATATATATATACACCCCTCTGGGTTTTCTTCTATTTTTCTTACTAGTTCTTGTTCTTGTTTATTTCCTCTTATCTCCATGGGGAAGTGGAACAGAATTCTTCCTCCCTAAGCCATGTGTGACATAAGAAGCAACTAAAATGCCAGGAGCAAGAGGCTAGTAACTCCTCCTGTATACGTATATTACTAAAGTTAAAAAGAGAAGCTTGCATTTTTCTTTTTGGGCCACCCTGCTTCAGTGGAATACGGTCGGTTTGTTGAAAGAAGAAAGAGTTTACTTATGTGTCAGTAAACAGGGCTTCTAATTTTCCCTTATTGTTTGGTAATTTTCCAGGTCTGTGTTATGTTTTGAGAATGCACTCTACATGTCACCAGGTGACCAAAGCTTGCGCCGAAGAAAGCATGCAGTTCTTTGCCATTCTAAACTTGAAGCAGCTTTAGAAAATCAGCATCAGTGAGTAATTTCCTTGAAAATTGTCTTTTGATGAGACTATAAGCCTCTGTATAAACAAGAGACGGACATAACTAATTAATTACAATTTAAGGTGTATAATGAATTTATTTATTTTTTCAGTATAAATGTATATATATACATATACACCTACCATCTGACTTAGGACCTGCTCGACTTACGACCACTCGACTTACGACCGTGTTTTTTATGCCAAATTTCTGGGAAATAAACAACTATTTGTGTTGTAAACAGTGTTTATCCTAAACCTTAGAGTATAAAATACAGTACTAACAACATAAAAAGTAAAGTAAAACATGAAATACCAAAATAAAACAATAAAATAAAGTCATTACAAAAATGTTTTGTTGATATTCAGTAGTAAAGTTCGACTTACGACCATTTCGACTTATGACTGGTTTCTTGGAACCGAACTCGGTCGTAAGTCGGATGGTAGGTGTATATATTTTAAGCAATTTAATCATTATGACTAGTTTTTACTCAATACAGATCACTTCAACGCACCCTTGGAGAACTTCGAGATTACCAGAAGCGCCACGAGGAGTGGTTGTCCTTGCAACAGAAGCTGTTATTAGAGCAAGCAACACCTGAGATGAAGCTTGAGTCAAGGTTGGAGTATGAGGAACAAAAAATCAGAGAGAGCACTGATGGGAGAGGTAAGGAGGGAGAGTAATACTGGTTCATGAGTACTGATGGGAGAGGTAAGGAGAGAGGAGGGAGAGTAATACTATCTCATGAGTATTCATAGGAGAGGTAAGGAGAGAGGAGGGGGGTAATACTAACTCATGAGTACTGATAGGAGAGGTAAGGAGAGAGAGGAGGGAGAGTATGAATAGGAGAGATGATGAGGGAGAAAGTAATATTGATTCATCTCATTAACATTGAAAATTACTTGTGAAGCTAGGAACATAAGAGGCTGGTTAGCATAAAAGAAGTAGCTCCAAAAATAGCTATTGTTCCAAAATATTTTGGAGATCCAGGAAGCTTGTTATGAGTAATAAATTGCAGCAGAATCATTGTATGGTAGTTGGCAGCTTTTGTTCACTAGTGAAAGTTCTGTTTTGTGATAAATTTAGAAGTATCTGACCTCATTCACTGTTTACTCTGCATAACCCTTCACAGGGGAGTTTCTTGATGCTGGTAAACTGCTCTGGATCCAAGGAATTGGAGTAACCCTCCCTGTCCTTGGATCAAACATGATTACCTCACATTCTCCAGGTGCTGTATGACCTTTGCAAGTTTAATGCTTCCCCACATAAACAATTTTAATCTCATTTTCTGCAGAGAAACCTTATTCCGAGTTTCCTACTGGGTCATTTTAGTTTACTTAGATTCGGTTCTTTAAACTTAGGCTGATGCATAGAATATAATATTAATTCTAAGAAATAAAACTAGAACTTTGTACAATGTAAGTGGTGAGAGTAAGTAGCTGGAAGATTGGACAGAGAAGCCTCAGTCGTACACTGCTTGATGGCCTCACCTCTTGTCAACAAACGAACTTCATTTCCAGGAGAATGGTGTTGCTCTCAAAGCCCCTGCTGTATTCTGTATAACCTACTTCCTTGTTTTATTCACCACTTTAGTAAAAATACAGCACAAAACTTTTTTTATTTTTATGCATTAATATTTTTGGTTTAGTCGTGTATGGTATTTAGATTTTTCCTTTTTTTTTTCTTAGAACTTTTTAGTACCTTTTCTCTTGTGCAAGTGAGTAAAGTGGTAATTGCAATTTTTTTTTTTATAATTTGCTAATTTTTTTTTATAATAATATTCTCTGTAGAATGTATTTGGTATATTCAGTTTGAAAAAAGTATGCTTAAACCCCCAGTAAGATAAATGTTCTCAATATTAGATACAATTATTGTACAGTATGTAATGTTTAATTTGAAGAAATATATATATAAATTCCATCAGCCTTTAGTCACCAATAGTTTCTCACTTTCTGGTGTAGCCTTCTGTTAGCATTATGCCTTATAACTACTTGTAGAAATAATTAGTGCACATCCTCATTATAAAATATTTAAAATATTTCATTTTTGAATTCATAGTTAACTTATCATCATTTCTAACTCTAATTCATCTGTCATCTAACAGATAACCTCTTCCATCTGCCAGGCCAGGACTGTTTCCAGTACCAGCAAGACGGCCACACCTTCCTCAGCTGCAACATGAGACGGGACCAGCTGGAGCAACGGGGCTCTCCTTCAGAGCTGCTGCTCGACCTCCAAAGTCTTCTGCACACTGTGGAGTCTGAAGCCCTCAGGCTTGGCCAGCATGTGCTCAAGAGGAAACCACTACTGATGTCACAAGTGCCGCAGATAATGCCTTTACACCCAACCAAAACTTATAGGTAAGAAGCACTGGGTTGTAGTATGCATGTGTATTGTAGAATGTATGTTTATTTATTTATTTATTTATTTATTAACAATTTGAGCATACATACAGAGGTACAAAAAAATACAGGTAAGAGCAGCATGCCAAAGCCACTTATACTATGCATAGCATTACGGGCTGGCTTAAAATTAACTAAGCAATGATGAAATCAGTGATAATACATTATTGTAAACAGATAACTATAAAGCACAAATGAGTATTACAAAGACAGGTCATATGGTTGCATGCATTGTTGTACATTCAGTCGTATGGAGTATTCTGTTAGGTAGTGTATTTAAAAAATAATAAAGTTAGATTGGGTTTTAGGTTTATCATTTATGTGATATAATTGTGAGAAACATTTAAGATATACAATTTATAAGGTTCAGTTATTCCGTATTTATTTGGTTTTGGGTGAGTAAGTGATCTTTGAGAAGAGACTTGAATTTATAAACAGGTAGTGTTTCTTTTATATTTACAGGTAATGAATTCCAGATTTTAGGGCCTTTTATGTGCATTGAGTTTTTGCATAATGTGAGATGGACACGAGGAACATCAAAGAGTGATCTGTGCCTTGTGTTATGGTCATGTGTTCTGTTGAGGTTGGCAAGGAGATGTTTGAGGGGAGGGTTAATATCAGAGTTAAGTGTTCTATGTATGTAATAGGTGCAGTAATAAGTATGGATGTTTTGTATGGTGAGTAGGTTTAGTGTATTGAATATTGGTGGAGTGTGCTGCCTGTAGTGAGAATTTGTTATCATTCTAACTGCAGCCTTTTGTTGGGTAATTAGTGGTCTGAGATGGTTAATTGTTGTTGAGCCCCATGCACAAATTCCATAGGTGAGATAGGGGTAAATAAGAGAGTGATATAGGGCCAGGAGGGCTGACTGTGGAACATAGTACCGTATCTTCGATAGTATGCCTGCAGTCTTGGAAATTTTCTTAGAAATTTGTTGTATATGTGTATGAAATTTGAGTCTATTATCAAGGTGGATTCCTAAGAATTTTCCCTCTGTTAGCTTTGTGATAGGTGATCCGTTTATCATTATGTTAAGAGGGACATCTGTAGCTTTGTTGGTTAAGTAAATGCACAGTTAAAGAACAAGACAAAGTTAAGCATTGTCTCTAGTTTTTTTATCACATTAACTGTTGATAGAGAGAATGAATCAAAGTAGAATGACATGGAAAGCATATAAATCTATAGGGAAAGGAAGGCGAGGTAGGGGTCGTCCTCGAAAGGGTTGGAGAGAGGGGGTAAAGGAGGTTTTGTGGGCGAGGGGCTTGGACTTCCAGCAAGCATGCATGAGTGTGTTAGATAGGAGTGAACGGAGACGAATGGTACTTGGGACCTGATGATCTGTTGGAGTGTGAGCAGGGTAATATTTAGTGAATGGATTCAGGGAAACCGGTTATTTTCATATAGTCGGACTTGAGTCCTGGAAATGGTAAGTACAATGCCTGCACTTTTAAGGAGGGGTTTGGAATATTGGCAGTTTGGAGGGATATGTTGTGTATCTTTATACGTATATGCTTCTAAACTGTTGTATTCTGAGCACCTCTGCAAAAACAGTGATAATGTGTGAGTGTGGTGAAAGTTGAATGATGATGAAAGCATTTTCTTTTTGGGGATTTTCTTTCTTTTTTGGGTCACCCTGCCTCGGTGGGAGACGGCCGCCTCGTTAAAAAAAAAAATATCATACATCCCTGTCTAGGGCCTGCTTTTATTGGAAAATAATCTCCCTTTCTCCTACATAACCTAACCTTAGCCTCACTGTCATCATAAAAACTTTTAACTGCTTTCAGTAACCTAATACCTATTCCATTCACTTGCAGCATCTGCCACATTGCTTCCCTATCTGCCCCATCATATGCCTAAAGCTTTCTTGTTCATCTGCAAACCTGCTCTCCATCTTACCCTTAATTCTTTCAATAATAACTCTGTCATACAACTTACCAGGTATACTCAACAGGCTTTTTTTTTTTTTTTTTTTTTTTAACAAGTCGGCTGTCTCCCACCGAGGCAGCATTATTCCCCTAGAATTCTTACATTCTCTTTTTGTCACCTTTGCCTTTGTACAAAGGAACTTGCATGCTTTCTGCCAATCCCTAGGTACCTTCCCTTGTTAAAAGTACCAGCCACTGCAAAACTATATCCCTACCTGCTTTTAACATTTTTGTCTTGATCCCATCAGTCCCATCAGCTTTACTCCCTTTCATTCTATCCATAGTCTCATGCACCTTCCCCACACTCACATCTGGCTATTCCTCACTCATGAAAGATGTTATACCTCCCTGGCCAGTGTATGAAATCACAGCTTCCTTCTCTTTATCAGCATTTAACAATTCCTCAAACCGTTCAACCTAGTTCAACCTTGCCTGTGATCACAGGCATTTGTGGATCACTTCTCAAAGGAATATCCAGTAAAATTATACAAACAGTTCCTCAAACTATTCCCTCCATCTTCCTGATACCTCCAGCTCCCCATCGAATAGCTCTCCTCTTCTGCTTTTAACTGTCAAATCCATTCGTTCCTTAGGCTTTCTCAACTTACTAATCTCGTTCCAAAACTTTTTCTTATTCTCAGCAAAATTTGCTGACAGCACCTCACCCACTCTTTCATTTGCTCTCTTTTTACATTCCCTTGCTGCTCTTAAGTTCCCTTTTTCTCTCTATGTGCTCCTTCCTCCTCATATCATTCCTGCTTTACAAAAATCTCTCATTTGATAACTTTTCCTCTTACCACTCTTTTTACCTCATCATTCCACCAGCCACTCCTCTTCTTTCCCTGCAATAACCATTAGATGAGAAGGGTCTGATGATAGTTTCAGGAGTCACTGTTTCCTTGGTCTTTTTTATGACTAGATTTAGTTGCTGGCCTGTTTGAGTAGGCTGTTGGTACAAGTTGCTTACAGTCCAGCATAGACAGAATTTGCATGAGGATGTTTGTCAGATTTACTGTAACAGTCCTCTTGAAAATAATGTATAATTTTTTATTAGGATGTGAAATCTGTTTTAGGGCTAGTAACCCCATCTCCTGTATACATTACTAAAGTTTAAAAGAGAAGCTTTTGTTTTTCTTCTTGGGCCATGCTGCTTTGGTGGGATATGGCCAGTTTGTTGAAAGAAGAAGAAATCCATTTTGGATTTCCCTGTAATACTGTATTAATGAAAACCAAAGGGAGAAAATTTAGACCCTTAGAAACAGCACTTGTTAGATGATAGTTTAGAGACTGGAAATTTTTACCAAGTCACTTGATAGATCTTTATTCTAGACATTTTTCTTCTGCCTTTCAAATATACCTGTACTGCTATGTGTATTTATTGATAAGCTTTCTTCATAGGAATGGTGGTAGTCCTGGTATACTGGATATGACATTAGGTGAAGATTTTCCAACAGCAGAACAGTGTGAGAAGGCTCCTTTGTTGCCTCAGTGGGATGACTTCCCCTCTGTCTTCCTCCCAGCTGAAAATAAAGGATTCTTGTAAGAATAATTTCCTTTGTTTTCACCTTTTTTTGTAGTTGTACATCCAATTATGTTATATACTATTCATTTTTTCATGAAATCTTAGCAAATTCTGTATTTCATGAAATACAGATTTTGCTGAGATTTTACTGGATAACATCCATAACCCCCTCTGGTGGATCCTAACAGAATGTTAGGATATTTTCTTATTTTATTCTTCTCATTTTATGAAGCAGAGAGCTCTTTGTAACTAGCCTACAAATTTAAGATAAGTTTTTTTTATAATATTTTGGTCTGGCCAGGACCATTATCAAGTCACAGGTAACCTATTTTTCAATGAGCTCTTATTAAAGAATAAATTTTGGGCTATTAAAATTCAAGTAAAGTATGAAAAAAGTTTATATTGTTATTATATTAAATACTGCAGTATGATTGCAACAAAACAACTACAGTAATTTATTGATCTTTCATCTCTTATTTATAGAGTAGTTCGTTTCCTGAGTGATGACATCGATGTGAGCTTCAGTGAGGAGCATCCTTTACCTTGGCATCCACCTATTTGTGAGAGACTAGGAGATACAGTTGAAGGAATTGATGACATCCCTGGTATCAAAGAGCGGCACACTCTTACAACACGCAATCGCGATCCGCACGCAGTCCCTTATTTAATGAAGTATGGGTATCAAGGTGTAGAAGCTGAGATAGGACAACGTATCAGCAGTGCCATGAAAAGGGCAAGTTCTACTGTCCACTTCGAAGGGTTCCAGCTCTTTAATCAAAAGAAGTCAGACCAAAGATGAAGTTTTATACAAGGATTTAAAACTTTTCATACATTAATCTTCCTTTCTTTGAAAAATTTTTAGTAATGTATTTTTTATTAATGTATGTTGCTTTTTCTCAGTTTAACTTCTTTTTATGTGTGTTGATGGTTTTGTTATGTTGCTGATGGTGCTAAGAAGTCTTAATTTTTATATTCTATAACCTTTTATATAGTTATTTTATTTCTTCTCATTTCTGTCAACCAATTACAACATTTTTAGTATTTGTCCTGTCTTTGGACTTTTTTCTTTCTTGTCGGTATGTTTAAGCATGGACACCCCACCACTGCTGCACATTTCAATTTTAACCTAACATAATTTTATGCTTTGAACCTCATTTTTGGGGGGAGGAATAAGGGTATTTCTCTATCATTTTATCTGAAAGCTATTTTGTACTTTGTTTCTGCAGTATATCAGTTTATAATTTCATTTGTGATCTTTTAGCAACAGTATTTGGTCAATGATGACTCCTAGATTCCTTTCTCTTTCTGACACTTTTAGTACTCTGTTATACAATTTATATGCACTTCATTTGTTATTGCTTTCTCACATTTTCATTTTCATATTAAATTTCATCACATATCTGTCGCTCCACTAGCTAAATTTATCAGGTCCTCTTTTAGGAATTTTGAGTCTTTTGTATTGCTTGTTTTGCATAGGATCTTTTAATAATCTGTGAACATATTCATATACATAGTCTTCTTTCATCTTGCAATTCTTCTTCTATAAATTAGAAACATTATTGGGACAAGAACTGAACTTGATGGCACAGTCATGTTGACATTTTCCCATTAGGACTTTCTCCTAAAAATGGCTTGGTGATCCAAAATTGTGTCATGATCCAGGGGTTAGGAACCCATGACTTCAACAGCAGCGCAGTATTATCCTTTGCTGCTTACGCTATATACAGTCTGAGTGCAAGCAGTATTCTTTGAGAATACAACCTGGTGTTAACCAAATCTTAATGGGCCACAGAGAACATTTATTATGTTCATGTAAGAAAAATTTAATCTCTTCTGTTGTGAAATTAAAAAAAAAAAAGATTAAAATAGAACTGAATGCAAAACTAAGTTAATTAAATGAAATGGCTTTTTGGTAAAATAGGCTTCTCAGCCTATCAGGCTTCTCAGGTAAGGTGTTCTTTATCAAATCCAAAATTCGATAAACCATCTAACATCCACTCTTCCTATTTTTCTCACCAGTTTCTGTTTGGACTAGGGATGTTATGAACCTGTAAAATTGTGACTGCACATCACCCTACTTGTCTCTCATGCTTTCCCTTTCTCCTTACTTCTCTACCTTTTTATTTTTTCTCCCTGTTCTTCTCTCCCTTCCTTCCTACTTTTTTTTCCTTCCCCCCTTATCCCATCCCATTCTTTACCCCTCCCTTTCTCTCCCTCCCCTCTCTATACCTTTCCTATTCTCATCTTCCTTCCTCTTTCCCTTCTTATCTCATAATTTTAGCTATTCACGATTGTGATTAATGACAGCATTGCCACTGTAAAGCTGTGTCAGCACTTTATTGTCCAAACTACATCTACTGCCGCTGCCCTTCCAGCACACGTGATGTGAACCTGTTAAGGTCCTGTGAGCAACAAATTGACACTTTCTCGCCTTCCTGCCCTCACTCCCAGTTAACATATTGCCAGAATCAGGAAAAAACCTCCACATTTCTTTGTTTATTTTTATATAAAAAAAAATGAGCATACTACACATGCACTAGTCATATACTGTACATTAACCCTTTGAGGGTTGACAGGCCCTCTCCCAAACTTGTTCTCAGGGTCGAAAAATTTTCGAAAAAAAAAAAAATTATTTTTTCGTGTGAAATGATAGAGCGTTTTTGTGAGTATTATAGGCCCCCAAAATATTTTTTGTGATCAATACTTACGGAGATCCTAGGTAGTAGGTTGGTAGACAGCAACCGCCCAGGGAGGTACTACCGTCCTGCCAAGTGAGTGTAAAACGGAAACCTGTAATTGTTTTACATGATGGTAGGATTGTTGGTGTCCATTTTTCTGTCTCATAAACATGCAAGGTTTCAGGTACGTCTTGGTACTTTTACTTACACTTAGGTCACACTACACATACATGTACAAGCATATATGTATATACACACACCCCTCTGGGTTTTCTTCTATTTTTCTTACTACTTCTTGTTCTTGTTTATTTCCTCTTACCTCCATGGGGAAGTGGAACAGAATTCTTCCTCCGTAAGCCATGCGTGTTGTAAGAGGCGACTTAAATGCCAGGAGCAAGGGGCTAGTAACCTCTTCTCCTGTATATACATGTATTACTAAATGTAAAAGGAGAAACTTTTGTTTTTCATTTTGGGCCACCCCGCCTTGGTGGGATACGGCCAGTGTGTTGAAAGAAAGAAGACTTACGGAGATATGGAGGTGTGAGGTTGACAGAAATTGAACTGCTTATGGAAACATCGCCAACTGCCAGTCACCCGGTAATAGTTTTTTTTTTTTTTCTTCTACTTTTTTTTTTTTTTTTTTTTTTTTTTTTTCAACAAGTCGGCCGTCTCCCACCGAGGCAGGGTGACCCAAAAAAGAAAGAAAATCCCCAAAAAGAAAATACTTTCATCATCATTCAACACTTTCACCACACTCGCACATTATCACTGTTTTTGCAGAGGTGCTCAGAATACAACAGTCTAGAAGCATACACATATAAAGATACACAACATATCCCTCCAAACTGCCAATATCCCAACCCCTCCTTTAAAGTGCAGGCATTGTACTTCCCATTTCCAGGACTCAAGTCCGACTATATGAAAATAACCGGTTTCCCTGAATCCCTTCACTAAATATTACCCTGCTCACACTCCAACAGATCGTCAGTTCCCAAGTACCATTCATCTCCATTCACTCCTATCTAACACGCTCACGCACGCTTGCTGGAAGTCCAAGCCCCTTACCCACAAAACCTCCTTTACCCCCTCTCTCCAACCCTTTCGAGGACGACCCCTACCCCGCCTTCCTTCCCCTATAGATTTATATGCTTTCCATGTCATTCTACTTTGATCCATTCTCTCTAAATGACCATACCACCTCAACAACCCCTCTTCTGCCCTCTGACTAATACTTTTATTAACTCCACACCTTCTCCTAATTTCCACACTCCGAATTTTCTGCATAATATTTACACCACACATTGCCCTTAAACAGGACATCTCCACTGCCTCCAACCGTCTCCTCGCTGCTGCATTTACCACCCAAGCTTCACACCCATATAAGAGTGTTGGTACTACTATACTTTCATACATTCCTTTCTTTGCCTCCATAGATAACGTTTTTTGACTCCACATATACCTCAACGCACCACTCACCTTTTTTCCCTCATCAATTCTATGATTAACCTCATCGTTCATAAATCCATCCGCCGACACGTCAACTCCCAAGTATCTGAAAACATTCACTTCTTCCATACTCCTCCTCCCCAATTTGATATCCAATTTTTCTTTATCTAAATCATTTGACACCCTCATCACCTTATTCTTTTCTATGTTCACTTTCAACTTTCTACCTTTACACACATTCCCAAACTCATCCACTAACCTTTGCAATTTTTCTTTAGAATCTCCCATAAGCACAGTATCATCAGCAAAAAGTAACTGTGTCAATTCCCATTTTGAATTTGATTCCCCATAATTTAATCCCACCCCTCTCCCAAACACCCTAGCATTTACTTCCTTTACAACCCCATCTATAAATATATTAAACAACCATGGTGACATTACACATCCCTGTCTAAGACCTACTTTTACCGGGAAGTAGTCTCCCTCTCTTCTACACACCCTAACCTGAGCCTCACTATCCTCATGAAAACTCTTTACAGCATTTAATAACTTACCACCTATTCCATATACTTGCAACATCTGCCACATTGCTCCTCTATCCACTCTATCATATGCCTTTTCTAAATCCATAAATGCAATAAAAACTTCCCTATCTTTATCTAAATACTGTTCACATATATGCTTCAATGTAAACACCTGATCTACACATCCCCTACCCACTCTAAAACCTCCTTGCTCATCCGCAATCGTACATTCTGTCTTACCTCTAATTCTTTCAATTATAACCCTACCGTACACTTTTCCTGGTATACTCAGTAAGCTTATTCCTCTATAATTTTTACAGTCTCTTTTGTCCCCTTTCCCTTTATATAAAGGGACTATACATGCTCTCTGCCAATCCCTAGGTACGTTCCCCTCTTTCATACATTTATTAAACAAGAGTACCAACCACTCCAACACTATATCCCCCCCTGCTTTTAACATTTCTGTCATGATCCCATCAGTTCCAGCTGCTTTACCCCCTTTCATTTTACGTAATGCCTCACGTACCTCCCCCACACTTACATTCTGCTCTTCTTCACTCCTAAAAGATGGTATACCTCCCTGACCAGTGCATGAAATTACTACCTCTGTTTCTTCCTTAACATTTAAAAGTTCCTCAAAATATTCTCGGCATCTACCCAATACCTCCATCTCCCCATCTACTAACTCCCCTACTCTGTTTTTAACTGACAAATCCATATTTTCCCTAGGCTTTCTTAACTTGTTTAACTCACTCCAAAATTTTTTCTTATTTTCATTAAAATTTCTTGACAGTGCCTCTCCCACTCTATCATCTGCTCTCCTTTTGCACTCTCTCACCACTCTCTTTACCTTTCTTTTACTCTCCATATACTCTGCTCTTCTTATAACACTTCTGCTTTGTAAAAACCTCTCATAAGCTACCTTTTTCTCTTTTATCACACCCTTTACTTCATCATTCCACCAATCACTCCTCTTTCCTCCTGCCCCCACCCTCCTATAACCACAAACTTCTGCCCCACATTCTAATACTGCATTTTTAAAACTATTCCAACCCTCTTCAACCCCCCCACTACTCATCTTTGCA